TGGGAGATGGAAGTGCATGAAAGGGTGGTGCGCTTCAGCGTCGAATGGCTGGGCGGCTTCAGCCGTTGGGGCCGGCCCGGGAGGTTAAGATGGAGCCGGGCGACGCCGATTTCCTGGCCTCGTTCCGGTTCCACCCCAGTGGCTTGCGGTCCGTGAAGGAGGACCTCTACCTCATCGATCCGGTCTTTTGGAGCAAGAACGTCAGCAAGGTGGGTGTTCCGCCGGTCGAGGTCGCGGAGGAGAAGCAGGAGCCCGAGTCCTCGGTGCAGATCGAGAAGGAGCCCGTGATGGAGCCTGCGGCCGAGGCCCCGGAGCCCAAGGACCTGCGGTGCAGATCGAGAAGGAGCCCGTGACGGAGCCTGCGCCCGAGGAGCCCAAGGACCTGGAGCCCGCGGAGCAGCCCCGGCCCTTGGACTCAAGCGATTCCGAAGGCGATGCTGTGGAGACTGCAGGGCCGGTGCCGGGCCTGCGCACCACCGACAAGGGCGACGGCTGGCACGAGCTCAGGGCCAGGACGCTTGAGGAGTACCAGGCCGACTTGGAGATCATCAAGCGCAGGCTGAACGACGGCACCATCGACCAAGGTCAGCCTCCGCTGGTCGCCGACGAGGTGGACCCAGGAGATCTACCACATCAACAGCCAGCAGAAGCTGGCCCTGAAGACCGGGAAGCGCTCAGTGCTCCACGGGATGCTTTAGCCGGGCAAGGAGGTCCAGGACGGAGCTGGCGTCGGAGCGCTTGGCCGGGATCTCCTCCAGGTGCTTGTCCACGGTCTCAGCGTTCATCATGGACCGGTGAGGCTCCAAGGCCAAGGCTGCCCTCTGAAAGGTCCCACCTCGCACGGCTTCAGAGCTTCGGAACTGCAAAGTGCTACGGCCGCCAAGACACTCGGCGAGGATCAGATTTTTGGCGCCCGTTGCACGCCGGGTGATTCCGCCAAAGGACTTGAGTGGAGATAGAACGCCGGCCGGGCGCCGCCACCTCTGTGCGTGTCCTTCTGCTGTCACCTGAAAAGACTCGACGAGATTACTTCTGAGCGCGAGCTGATCTTCTGACGCAGTGAGACACGCCCGAGATTGCCGAGGCGAGCAGCAAGCTTGGCCGGGCAGAGAGGGAGGTGCGAAGTCTGAGGTGGTTTGATGCTGCAGAGCGTGCGTATGAGGCTCGCTTAGACCGGAAGGTCCAGGATTATTACGATTCTTTCGAGTGACTTGTACAGGCTTGCACAGGCTTGCATAGGGTGCCCACAGCACCAGGCCCGTACAATGGTGTTGCCTGTTCAGACACTCAAATTGCCAGCGATAAAAAAGACCCAGTCCTCGGGTTTAGGGGGTCGGCGAAGCGCCGAGCGGTGGAGACTGCCCCTGGCACAGAGCCGCAGGCGCCCCCAGGGCTGACTGAGCCGCTCGGAGAGGCCAAGAAGGACGACCCGATGGAGGTCTGGGAGGTGGTCGAGGTCGAGAAGGCCGACATGGACGCAGGCAGCACAACCGCCCCGAGCACCGAGGCAGAGGTCCCAGAGCCTACCGAGCAGGTCGAGCCCTCCGAGCCGGAGTCCACCGAGCAGGTCGACCTCCCAGCCTGAGTCCACCGCCGTCGAGCCCAATGTGTGAGCATGAGCGCACAAAAAAAAGAAGAGGCACCGTCACTCCGAGGTCGGCCGCTCCTCCACCACAGGAAGCTTCGTCAAGGCGACGCGGACAAGGTCCGGAACCACAAGGCGCAGGATCGCGTGCTTGGGCAGTTTCTTGCCGTCTCCGTCCAGAAGCGCTGGGGATCCCCTCCTTCCACGCCAAATTCTCGTTGATGATGTCGTTGTGGAAGGCCTGCAGCTTCAGGTGGTGGTAAGGCCATGTCTTGTCTCCGGTCTTTCAGCACTGCAAAATCCGGCGCCACCAGCTGCACAATGCCACTTAGCCCGAAGATCTGAACCAGCCGGCACTGCAAGCCGGTCAGGCTGAACTCCGCCTCAAGGTCCCAGCCGCGAAGCTCCTCCAGCTGGTCCAGCGCGTCGGCCTTGAGAGGACCGTGCCCTCGTAGACGTCGCCCTCCTCCGACACGATGCCCTGCTGCAGAAGACGCCGCTGCTTCTGCTCCTCTCGCTCGCGCTTGGCGCCTCCTTGGCCTGCAGCCGGAGGTTGGCACCGCTGCCACTGGGAACAATGACAGTGTTGAGGCGACTGTTCACCTGCGCAAAGCCA